AGATCTCATTGCCTGCATTTTCTAATGTCAAGGGCAAGTGCTAAAACTGGGAATGACATTCAGTAAGTGGAACCCCCAAATCTGGATTCACTATACCACACCTGGTTATTCTTACCCTTTTAGAAGGATACTGTTGTTTTTAAAACATAAAATGATCTCAAAGAACCATAAAACAAGAATGCCCAATGAATTTACTAAATCCTAACTGCTTGCACTTTAAAATTACCTTTCTTAGAACCTAAGCAATGCACGGATCCGCAGACATTAGACGAGAGGATAACAAGCCCCGTGTAAAAGAAAGTGAGCTGTGAGCAGTCTTTAAACTCTTTCCCAAAACACAAGGAATATATTTCTCTGTCTGTTTATCTTCAGCAGCTATATTTCTCTAATGTTGTTGTTTAGTCGCTAAGTCACGTCCGACTCTTTTGTGACCCCATGGACTACAGCCCAGCAGGCTCCTCTGTCCGTGGGATTTCCCAGGCAAGAATACTGGAGTGTGTTGCCATTTCCTTCACCAGGGGTTCTTCCTGACTCAGGGATTAAACCTGCATTGCAGAGGCATCCTTTACCACTGAGTTCCCCTTGGAAGCTCCATATTTCTCTAATAGAGTGGTCTTGATAATTTCCAAGACTTGGAAAATTTAACGTGTCTAAGTTTATTATTAAGTGTCAGAGTGGATTTCAAATTTAGCCTATAAGATTTACAAAATGCCATGCAGCTTCTATACAATTATCAAGATAATCAGGAGAAAATGGTTTATACAAAGCTTTGTTGCTTGTTTACAATTGTTTTTAAAATTCCCGACTGACCATGCCTCTAAGAAGACAAAACCGGGTCTGACCTGTCTGTGTATCCTGGCATATTACACAGTGCCTGGCACATGGTTTCTTGAAACCCAGACATGGGGGAATCCAGTAATTCTTTGCTGAATGTACACTAATTAAGTTCACTATAACAGGATTTTGAAGTAACATTTTTTCTTATGACTAGTTCTATAGTTCATTGTTAAATTCTTAAGAAAATAAACATGAACAAAGAGAAGAAAGTAAGTTACCATAATCCTAACATCTAGAAGTAACTATCATTGATATTTTGATGTTACAGTCTCACAGCTTTTTTCTCTATATGAATGAATGTTTAATTCATACTATACATACTAATGTTAAACTTTTAAATTTATTATATTGGGAACATGCTTTCATGCTATCAGTCTTCTACATTATTTTTAATAGCTATATTCTATTGTTTCGATGTACCATAATTTTATTATTGAATTTCCTAGCATACTAAAAAAGAATCCGCCCTACAGTCTTCCAATTACTACACAGATTCAAATTCACTGACACTGTAAATCAGTCAAAATGAAGATAGTCTAAGAGAATTTTTAAATAATACTTTTGGACAAAATTTGACTTTCACAATAAGTTTTTAGGCAATGTATTTAAAAAATGTGACACAGATGAACCTGACTATAATGAAAGGCTATGGAACCAGCTTCATTTCTTACTGGCAAATGGTTTTACTGTGATAGCAATCTTAATGCAAGGCTTGCTTTGCTCATTATAAAACTTCCAAGATTCTTATTTACAGTTCACCTTAAACCAAGTTAGACTTAGGGTCCTTTTGCTGCTGCTGTTCAGTCGCTAAGTCGGATACACTTCCTTGTGACAGCATGGGCTATAGCCTGCCAGGCCCCTCTGTCCTTCACTCTCTCCTGGAGTCTGCTCAAATTCATGTCCATTTAGTCAGTGATGCTATCTAACCATCTCATTCTCTGCCGCCCCCTTCTCCTGCCCTCAATCTTTCCCAGCATCAGCTGACTCTTTTCCAATGAGTCAGCTCTTTCCATCAGATGGCCACAGTATTGGAGCTTCAGCCTCAGCATCAGTCCTCCCAAAGAATATTCAAGGTTGATTTCCTTTTAGGATTGACTGGTTTAATCTCCTTGCAGTCCAAGGGACTCTGAAGAGTCTTCAACAGCACGTATCAAAAGCATCAATCCTTCGGTGCACAACCTTCTTTATGGTCCAACTCTCACATCTGTACACGACTACTGGAAAAACCATAGCTTTGACTATGCAGACCTTTGTTGGCAAAGTGAGATCTCTGTTTTTTAGTCTGCCTGCAATGCACGAGACTCAGGTTTGATCCCTGCCCTGGGTTGGGAAGATCCCCTGGAGGAGGGCATGGCAACAAACTCTAGTATTCTTGCCTAGAGAATCCCACAGACAGAGGAGCCTGGCAGGCTACAGTTCATAGAGTCACAAAGAGTCAAAATGAAGCAACTTAGCACACACACATCATTTCAGGCTATTTCAGAGCCATGAAGAATACTTAAAGGGTATTCTTTTAATACTTAAAAGTAGAGCCTTCTGAATTTTACTTCCAAGGCTCAAAATGATTAATAGAAGTTCAAAAAAGTACTTTTTAGAAGTACTTTTGTGGTGAGCTGGACTCACCACAGATATAATTTTAGTTTATATTTAAATTTGTGGAGCATACACACACATTTTATGGTATTCCCAAGTTGAATTTAACTGTCTAAAATTTTTTAATTTTGTGATTTCTTCAATGCCAAGTTATCAATTACTACATTATTAAAAATCTTTTACTGCAGTAAAGGAGAGGTTAATTTCAAATGTGTGAATTAGAGAATGCTACTTTAAGAAAGGCCAGTACATTGTGCATAAGCTCATATATTGATAATAATTAAAAGTGGGCTACTCAGGTATTACTTAGGTGATATTCTTAGGGAACAAAGAATTTAGGTTTATAAATATTTATTATGTTATGATTATTATTTATAATAGAAAGGGCGAAATTATTTATTTGTATGTTTGCTATTACTCTGCAAACAACTGCTTAGCAACATGTTTAACATTTATCAAGTTATTATACTCCAGGCACTGTTTAAGTATTTTTCTAGTAATAACTGAGTCCTCATGAAAAAGACCTATATGGTAAGTACTACCGATATCATTATTCTCATTTTTATAGGTGAAAAAACTAAGTCCCTAAGTTTGTTTTCATAAGAAAACAAATATAATGAATTAGTTTTTAGCAAATCTTTTCATCAAAGTTTATATAAAAGGAAACATTAGTCTAGCCCACACACTCTGAATTAACTTTTAGAATCATTTCACTAAAAGTAAACTTTTTAAACTGTGGCAAAACAATAAATATCTGGAAATGTTTCTTACTTGACAAGAAGTGTCAATCTAGCACATATCATTCTGATAAACTCTTTGCAATCATCTCACACTAAATTTTTTTAAGAGTAAGAAAAATTAAAATATTTGGAAGTGTTTTCCACTTACAGGAAGTAACTATGTTCCTGGACTCAATATTCTCAAGCATTTCTTACTTGTTGGGATAGTGAGAAAATACTTGCCTTAATTTTTATTTCTCCATCAGAAAATCACAAGAAACCAAACAAGAATTTCTAAAATATATATCCTGAAATATTTATGTTACTTACCATTATTTTTAAATTATTAAAATTCAGTGGGACTTCCCTGGCAGCTCAGTGGTTGAGACTCTATGCTCCCAATGCAGGGGATGTGGGTTTAATCCCTGGTTCCAGAACTGAGAGCTCACGTGCTGCCTGGTACAGCCAAAAAAAGTTTTTTAGTTACAATTCAAATTTCAGAAAAATATTGACTTAATGTAGATAAAAATTAAATTTTTCACAAAGAGGATATTATCTTAGATATTTTATTCTGATGCATTTTAGTATTTTATAAAAATTTTTACTGTGTTTACCATGTTAAAAATTCTTAGCAAGGGACTTCTTCCCACTGAAATTTCCAATTTTCAATGTGTAATAATAAAATAAGACATGAAATTAGTACTGGGAGATCAATGTGAAATGTATTATATTACTTTTGCAATAAGGTTATTTGATTTTTTTAAAAGGTTTTTTCCTAGCTACCGTCCTATTTTACTTATATGACCTATTGGTGCCACCTTGTGGCCCACCTGGGCTTCAAAAAGCAACGCGAGCATCTAGTAGCAGCAGCAGCAGGACTGGTAAATAGCCAGAATGAGGGCCTCTGGTTTTCCTTTGTCCCATTTCAGTCACTTATTGTCATTCTTACTAATTTTGAAACTGTTCAGAATTGGGATGAACTTCAATTTTCCTTAGAAAAGAAAAGCTTACCTAATATAATGTGTGTCCATTACACCTCAAAGAAGAAAGAAAAGAAAGAAAGGAAAGGAAGGAAAAGAAAGGGAGGAGGGAGGCAGGAAGGGGAATCCCCTGGCGGTCCAGTGGTTGGATCTTGGTGTTTTCACTGCCAAGGGCCTGGTTCTGTCCCTGGTCCTGTGGAGGAACTAAGATCCCATAAGCCAGGCAAAGCAGCCAGGGTAGGAGAGGGGAGAAGAGCTTACTAGGCAAATAAACAGCATAAATATGATTCCAGGCCTTTTAAAAAACCTAAACCTCATTAAGCCCCCCTCTGATATCAGACTTCATATACACAGAATTGTTAAAGTGCTACAAAAATGACATTCTTATTTATTTGGTGTTATTATAGTACACAAAATTTAACCAGACTTCACCTCAAATCATCTGAAAGCAAAAGACTGAGTTCTTAGGAGTATTCCTGTGAAACGTTTATAGCTGAAGGGTGATCTAGGATGACCTAACAGATTATCTAACCCAAGCTCCCAGGTTTATAGACGATACTGAGAACCAGAGAGGCTGTAACTTTGCATGTCAACCCTCACCTCTAGGGTTCTAGCCTTATTCATGATCTATGGGAGAAATACAAGGTACATCTTCAGTGTAACAGGTTTTCACAGTTCTCCTATAACCTGCTCCCATTCATGCTCTGAATTATGTGCTAGATGGAAGCTAGTGTATGTGGCATCCTTAATATAAAACACCCATTCTAGTGACAAAGGGCAGAGTAGGACACTCCCTAAGCTACACAACCCAAGAGAGGTCTGGTCAGCACCACAGTGGACCCTGCTCACAAGCAGCTGTCAATGAGGCACCATGAGGGAAGCAATTCAGCCCAGGGTCGATGGTGTGGTGGTCGTCAGGTGGAGAGTGAGGTAAGAGGCAGCTTCAGGCCTTCTCCTGGAGGCCCCAGAGCTCACCCAGCAGGTGAGCTGGAGGGCCCAGGGAACAGACTGGGAGCTACACCCTGAGGGCTCCAGAGCCCTCACCAAGGCCCTCCACTAGCCATGGCCCAGGCCTTGAGGAGCAGTGAACCTCCCCCACCCCATCTCTGTGACTAATACGGAGGAAGAAAGTGCAGAGTTTTAGTAAGAGAGTTGAGTGTCTAAGGCTTTAAAGGGAGCCTTTGGTTCTTTTCCTGCTGTCTCTCCTTCGGACTGTGGGTAATCTACTCTGGGGACACATCTTTGATACCCCAAGAAAGTAGTGAGTTACATGCTTAGAAATGGCTCCAGTTTCAAGAAAGAGGAATATGGAATTTTTTCCCACTAGGTTTTTTTTTTAACCCAGCTTAGGAGGATAAATTAAGTATAGGATTACAAGCAGAAGTTTTATTTTCTGGCTGGAGCTTGCCTTGTGCTGCCACTTAGGAACCTAAGCCGTGGAGCAAGAGGTAGGAAATGCCAGGACTATAGAGCAGGATGGAGTCAACAGTCCTGGTAGCTTCTTTAGTGGGACAGTAATTCCAAGTGGACAGTGAGTCATAGCGATCCTCTTTCTGACTGAGACCGGGCCCCATGCAGCCTCTCCCAGTGAGACGGCAGATCTGTGAGTTGGCTCAGGTTACATCTGCGTACTCAGAGCCTATGGTATATTTCAGAAACAGGAACAGAGGCTGGCAAAACTCTGTACCACTTTCCTGTGGAACTATTTTTACAGACTGCCCAGAGACCTACCAGGCCATTGTGACCAACACGGGAAAGAGTGGTCAGTGACTAAGGTCTCAAGACCATTCCATTTCATGATTGTTGTCTATAGATTTTATCTTAAAAAAATTTTTTTAAAGAATGGTTAACTAAATTATCAACATTTTATCAATCAGACCACTCTTTTTAAAAAAAATTCCATGCCTCACTCTGCTGGTTGAAGTTCATCCTTCAATTGTTTTAGTGAGGATCTATAAGTAGTACATTCTTTCAGTCTTCTGACAGTGGCTTTATTTTTACTTTATTCTTGAATATTAGTTCATGTGATTACAAGGCTGTAGCTGCCAGTTACTTTCCCTCTGCATTTTGAGGCTATCATTCCACTGCTTCTTGGCATCTATTATTGCTAGAAGACATCTGCTTTAGCCTAATTGTTGCGTAAGTCTTTTTTTTTCTTTGGTTTAAAAACTTTCACTTTATCCTTAATGTTAACAGTTTCACTGGGATTTATTTAGGAGGATTTATTTATCCTGCTTGGAATTCTGAGTTTTTATCATTTATAATCTAAGGACCACGGCCTCTTGAATTCTGGGGAATTCTCACTTACCTCTTCAACTACTGCTTTTCGATCATATCTTCCTACTAGATATATGTTGGAAACTCAATTTATGCTTTTCTTTAAAAAAAAAAAAAAAAAAAACTTTTCTAGGCTGTAGCTTCTAGGTACAGTTCTCAGCACTATCTTCTAATTGATTTATCATCTCTGGCTGGATTGAGTCTAAGTTTATCATACATCAAAAACAAAAAAAACCCTTAACTACTGTACTTTTTCACTTCTAAGAGTTCTAATTTTGTCATCTCCATCTGCTCTTGTTATTTTTTGTTTCATAATTTAACATTTTTAATAAATGCAAGTGCTTTCTCTACTTGAGCATAAGGACAATTGAAAGTCTTTGGTGGAGCAACAAGCATATACTGTATGAAGAGGGAACTATAGCCATTATCCTGTAATAACCTGTAATGGAATATAATTTGCAAAAATACTGAACTGCTACGCTGTACCTCTTAAATCAAAACATTTAAAACAATCATACTTCAATAAAAGAGGAAAAATAACTTTGTTGGATAGTTTCCTAAAGTTACTTACACTAGGGCTGGGTTTGTGTTCCAATGCAACATTGCTGGATGGATTTTTCTTGACACTGGATCTTTTCTCATTCATTTTGGAATTTTTGCTCTAAGCTTATTTTGGGAGAAGGGTTTGTTTTTGTTCTCCATTCCTCCTCCCACATGCTTACTCCTCCACACAGCTGCCTCCAACTTGCCACCGACAATGAGTTCAGAACCAGGTCTCATAAAGGTTGAAGATCTTACAAACTGGCCAAAGCTAACTGTGCCTTTCATCCCCTTGGAGGCCCAGTGCCACTGTGGTGAACACAAGTGGCTGCCTACCGTTCATTCCAAAGAGGTATGAAAAGGTCAGAAAAACTGTCCCATGGTCCCAGCACTATCACTCCTGGCTGTCCGTGAGTGTGTTCTGAGGAAATGAGCTCTGACTCCAAGCCATGCAACATGTAACACAGTACATTCTTCTAGCTGTGGTGGTTTATTGTTTTTTAATTAATTTGTATTGAAGTGTAGTTGATTTATTAATACAATGTTACAGCACAGTGAAGCAGTTGTTCATATATCACTCTTTTTTAGACTCTTTCCCCATATAGGTCACTGCAGAGCATTAAGCAGAGTTCCCTGTCCTCTACCCTAGGTTCTTATGCAGTGGTTTTATTTAGAAGTAGACATACTTCAGTCTAATAAGACCCTTTACTTACTGTGATATATATTAAAGTGATATATTCTTTTTTTCTGATAATAAGGTATAAACTGAACATCTAAAACTGCTTTAGTCATTTTGACACGGATTTCAGAAGGGACAGAGGGAGAGAGAAACAGATACAGAGAAAGGTGGGGGAGCTGGAGATGGAAGCACACGGGGAAACAGAGCCAGACCTTGACTAAACCTCACACGAAGCTCATACTAACTACGGACTTTTCAAATACAGGCATCAGTAAATTCGCTTTTCTATTGACAGTTTAAATTAGGTTTTCCGTTACAACCAAATATTTAAATGATACAGAACCTAAAGTCTTACTTCCTTGGTAGATCAGAGGGAAAAGAATCTGCCTGCAATGTAGGAGACCAGGGTTCAATCCCGGGGTCAGGAAGATCCCCTGGAGAAGGGAATGGCAACCTACTCCGGTATTCTTGCCTGGAGAATCCCACGGACAGAGGAGCCTGGCAGGCTACAGCCTGAGGGATCACAAAGAGTCAGACGTGACTAGCGCCTAACGCGTCCTCTACACCTTCCTTGAACCTAAAGTAGCCATCACCACTTGATTCCTATCGCTGTGTGCTTCTGCCACTGCTTTCTACGAAGGGGAAAACACTGCTTGTCTTACATGTTTCAGCAAAAGACAAAGATCAAATGAAGGGTGGGAGCAATGACATCTAACTCTCTTCAAGAAGCTGAATTAACTAAGGTCTAAGAAATACCATTTTAAAATAGAATAAATAGCACAGCAGGCAGGAAGCAGACTGAAGCTGGGTAAATTCTAGGCGCTCACCAAGGAGATAACTTGAAGCACAAGTTGAACAGATAATCTGAACAGATGAGATAAAAATAAGCTCACTGTGGGGAAAACACAGACAATACCAGTTTTTGTTCTGTTTTTAAGAAAAACAACCAAGAGGCAAACACAGCCCCAAATGGGGAAGTGGCAGGAAGAGATTTAAATGAAAGAATCAGTGCTATCTGGCTCTTGGAAAAAAACATACGAGGGCTAAAAATGCCACCAAAGTTAGAATGCCTAAACCGTTCTGACAATGCCACACCCAGGACATTTAAAAAAAAAATTTTAACTTAGACTAAAGAAAAAAAGATACCATAAGCGAAAATACAGGTTTCTTAGCTAGTTTTAATACACTTAGGTTAAAAAGTAAAACAGGGACTTCCCCCGTAGTCCAGAGGTTAGGACTCTTTGCTCCCAATTCGGGAGGCCTGGGTTCGATCCCTGCTTGGGAAGCTAGATCCTACATGCCACAACTAAAGATCCTGCATGCCACAACTAAGACTTTTTTAAAGTAAAATATAGCAGAGGAATTTAATGAAGACCTAATGTTGAAAAAATAGCTAAATAAATCATGTGTGTTCTTGCATTTGCTTCTGAATGACTTGGCACCATCCCTAAAAACAATGTGCACATATCTTTTAATTGATTGTATTCAATTGCATAAATCTGTCAAAAGTACTACTTATTGGATAGTTCTGTGAATACACAGAAGCATCAGTATTTCTCTGGCATATGTGTGTTTATGGCTACGTGACCAAGAGCTGGGAACAAAAAAATCATCAAATTTTTTTTTAATCAAATGGGTGTATGCCTATCTTTATTGAACATATTTTAGTCTAGAACTGTTTTCTTTCTCTAATAATTATTGGCAAATCAAAAGCTAAATTATATAAGGTTACTAAATACTGCAGTGAACAAAGAGGTCTAGAAAAACTGAACAGCACTTAAAAAAGAACAAGTTCTTCTTCAAGTCCTACACTCCTTCAAGTTCTAGAATTCTGGGTATATATACAAAGGAAATGAAATCTTATCTCCAAGAGATACCTGCATGTTCACTGCAGCATTATTCACAATAACCAAGATATGGAAACAGCCTACGTGTCCACTGAGAGAGGAATGGACGAGAAAGATGTGGTATATATATTACACGATGAAATATTATTCAGCCACAAAAAGGAGGAAATCCTGCCATTTGTGACAACATGAATGAACCTGGATGACACCACACAAAGAGAAATAAGTTAGACAGAGAAAGACAAATACTGAATGATCTCACTTACATGTGATGTGGAATCTAAAAAAGTTAAACTCACAGAACCAGAGAGCAGAAGGGAGGCTGCCAGGGGCTGAGGGAGAGGGAAATGGGAAGGTGATGGTCAAAGGGTACAAACTTTCACTCATGACATGGAGCTAATGTTCAGCAGGATGATTATACGCAATAGTATGTATTGTGTACTTGAAATTTGCTGAGCAGATCTTGTGTTCTCATTACATATGCACACAAAGGTAACTATGTGAGGTGATGGATGTATTAATTGTAACTTGACTGGGGCAATCATTTCAAATTTATGAAAATATTAAATCATAACACCGTACGGTTT